GAACGCGGTAGTTTATGTCAGTAAGAGTCTAACACTTTTACCTCACCCAAGGTGGGGAGAAGTCATTGAATGATTATCCCCCCTTAAAAAGCAGTGAATTGTCATGGCTGTTACTGTTAACATGCAAAACGTAAGTAATACTTTTACGAAATTCACAGTTGTGTTCTTCGTATTTATACAAGACACCTATACTGCTCTTCTATACAAAAATGTCTTGACAAACTGAACTGATGATAACTTGTTCTGTTCGGAGAGCACGAAGAATAATTTAGTGTTGATTGATAAGTCACAGACTATCGTCATTATCTGGTCACGAAGAAAGATGAGACTGACTGATATGATCAAATTGATGAACAGATATTATGATGGTAGAAATGAATAATGAATTACTTCAGATAATCTCTGACTTGTTTAAAAGATTATAATTCTTTGAGGAAGTATTCAGCTATTTAAACGAATTTTATACCGCGGTAATAAGAGAGGTTTCGTTCATTTAGAAATGTACACGTCTCCGTCTAAGCTTTATTGCGTTTTGATAATAGAGGTACATAGAGAGGTACATCATTTCATCACGAGACTATTAATTTTTGTACAAGTTTTACAGATTTTGTGATCCTTCTGATGAGTGTTTCACAAAATTATTTAACGCTGAAATACTCAAACGCCACTCTATTTTATAGTTCTGTATATTTATGTAAATTCTTTGTAAAACGACAGAGATGGCACGATATTTAAGTACAATTTAAAATCGAGTAGCCTTTCAGTGTTCGAGCGTAAGTAATAGAATATCAAATATTGGGGCTTATAACTTTAAATCATTGATTTTCAGTTTGTTGATGGAGAATAAAATATCTATATGTGTAGATTATTATTTATATTTTTATACACAGGTACATATACCTTGTTGTTACTATTGACAGTGACAAATTAAAACACGATGAAGAAATACCTAGTGATACATTTCACGCTTAAATTATTTGTACAGTATCTCCTAATTAACAAGTTAGATGATAAATTAAACACGATTTCTAATTATTTAGTGTATTCGAAATTGGTTTTAACGTTATCTCTAATTGAGTCCAATTTGCTTTATATTCTTTGATGTGAATGTATAAGTTTAACATTCAATTGAATTTGTTAGTGTCTCTGTAGTTCTATTAATGTGGCTTGATTTCAAAGATTACGTAGGTAAGTGATAATTGTTAAACGTAAGTAAATAATTATTTAAACACATCACATAGATCACACAGATTAACTAAAAGTTGCGGGCTACTCACGTGTAAATTTTATTTTATTTAGTAGATATGTCTCACGATAGTTATTATAAAAATCACACAGATATTATTTTGTCATGTTATCAATATTTAAGTTCAAATCAAATCTTAAGGTAGTGTAGGAACTTCATTACTCTTTAAATCATATTTACAAAAAGTACACTAAGGGCCGAATTTTCTATCATCAGGTAATTCTTAACTGTAGAATAAAATTGACTTATGTTATTCCACCGTTGGAAAAATCGGCTCTAACTAATAACATTAAAGTAAGAGAAACACACCTAAAGAATCAAAACAAAACAAATCATTTCAGAACTCCCAACTATAATTAATATCACTTTGCATTTCTACTACAAAATTTCAAACAAAACTCCACTAAAATAATTAAGACCATTAAAATGTAATTGTGGTACGAGCAAATGTTAATTTGCTTAACTAAGATGTGTCGGCAGATATTTTTACCAGGTTTAATGACGTGATATGGATACGGGTTCAGGAGGAAACATCGAGTATTGTGTTACGAAGCTCACTGGTCTTTATCGAGGCGAAATTTCATTATAATCGTACCCCATTCCACCTACCATTCAATTGGAACACCTTCATACAATTGGGAGGGTTGCCTCAATGGCTTGTCGGATGAAATTTCTTAACATTCTTCGCTCATAATGAGCAGAGGCTGTCGTGCAATGGCCAGTAACGGTGTAATTGTACAGCGAAACGAGATCGACAGATATTAAAGGAAATTAAATCCGCTTAATGAACCCCAGTAATAAAATTATAACATTTAATATTTCCACAAAATTTTCTTGATATTTTTGTTGAGAAAGTTTTAATTAAATTATTTTAGGCAAACCCCAGAATGGTCTAGACAGTTTACAACCCTTACTAAAATAGATTTTAATGTAAATTTAATATTTGAAACATACTCGTGTTTGATACTCGATTAAATGTGTGAACATAATGTGATGAAAATAAACAAAAAAGGCGTTGTAAGCTTCATTAGAGAACTTAGAGAAGTCATAAATAAAAAACCAAATTATAAATTAAAAGCACGGAACAGGTTCATAAATCAAAAAATGGAATCTTGTATACAGGATGTAGATACGGAGAGAAAGAATAATAATTTACAAGATAAAAAATCGCCTATCAACGTTCATGACCAAAGTCGTAGTGAATCACCTGGTAATGAAGACATCATTATAGGACCGGTTCCGATGGCCGAGGGGCTACGAATTACGACAGAAGCTTCAATTTTTTTCGTAGAATTATTTAACGCACGACCAGGTCGTTAACTTAAATATTTGTATTTAGATCTTACCTCTTGAGACGTGTTTGTATTGATTGTTATCGGATGCTAGGCGCCATTTTGTATCAAATGACAACAACGTTTCTAAACCCCGAATATTAAAATAGCTTCGTAAAATTATCAGATTTTATACTTATAACCAAAACGTCCATCAAGTTTTCTATTTACATTAGAAAACTAGGATGATAAAATTGAACCGATTTAAAATTTCATCTATCATTTCAAACGAATCTCACAGTACGTTCTGATCCCTAGGGATAAAAACAAAATAAGAAATGAGTTTTAATGTTGATACCCTTAAAGTGTTATTTAAAAATGGGGGAGATTTGAAATATTTACTCCAAAGGATCTACTGTCAATTGAACAAAAATCGCTCAGGCGTTTAACCCGTAGAGATGTGATAAGTATAACCGACATCATTAATCATTCGAAATAAAATTTTTGAATCCCTCCTGTATGACAACCTCTAGCCGAGGGTCCATCATCATGTACATTAAGGACGAAGGATAATAATATAATATATTTCATACATAAAATACATTCTATTGAATACAACGTTATCGTTTGAAATTGGCATGCTATTATATCGATTTCATCTACTTATTGTAACGCTGGATAATAAAACCGACACTACAATAATTACATTTTGAGATTTGAAATTATAACCAACCTCATGCCAGACGCTTTTATCTTATCCGGTCAATTTGTTCAATACTAAAAAAGCGATAGCGCTAATGTTTATTGAAAATGTATTAACGCCAGTCTTTTTTATTGAATGTCAATCAAACGAGTCTTGTCGAACACGTTTAAATATTTACTAGAATAAAAGATGTACTAAGTTCCGTATCCCAGTTCGGGTAAACCCACTAACTCGACACGTTTCTATCCCTTTCATAGTCCCTTTTTTGAAGGGTCCTATCTATTTAATTCATCTCTGGACTCTTTCAACGAGCGATCCCTGACCGCGTTCAAAGATATCGGTCACATGACGACCGCTGCGAAAGATTGGAGTTAAATTTAGTAGAAGACATTTATTTACTTATTCAGCGATGTCTTTAGGTAATCATCTGTGAGGGTAGCAGATCATTACTGATAATACCAATGTAATGGATTAACTTCCAATGTGACGCATGCTCATGTTTGAAGTCCAATTTCATATACGATATACGATCGTATTATTTGGTCCAAAAATATTTTCTATTATTATATCTTCATTTGTCTGATGATACTATATTAATGTTAGGTATTGTTTGCCCTATTGATCCCATTTTCATTTAATCACTACCTGACTAGTAACTGCGTAAGGGTAAAATATAAAGTACTTCTGTATAAACATTAATGGCAATCATTTCCTATCCCTAAACAATTTAGAATCCCTGCAAAGCAAACATATTTTTGCAATTAAAGGCCTATAACGGCCCAGCCGAATATCTAGCGCGTGGCAATTAAAAACAAAGCAAATACAGTATTTTCTATGTTAACCGCAATAAAGGGTAGCCGATATACCCCTGTTGCATATCGCCATGCGGTTTCCATTACAGAGGTGTGTTTAATGCCATCGGCTCGTGTAATGGTCTTTGCTGCCATTAAGCTACCCCATACCATATTACTTTTTTAATGTAAACTCAACAAGCAGAATTGTCATTTTTATTGTCATATAGGCGTACGCAATGTTTTTTTTCTCGTTCCCTATAATTTAGTTTTATCGCTTTCATTATATTTTTATTCAGAGTCATAGTATCGGTGACATTTGTTGCTATATCTGTTGGTTCTGATTGTGTTTGATAGATTCAAATGATAAATTATGTTTTTTTACGGTATCAAATTGTTTTGTATGAACAAAGGAATGTAATGATAGACCAAATGGTGGTTTCGATAATTTATGACCTAGACATTTTTTGGCATACTTAATGAAATAAAAACGAAATAATGTTTATTTACCTCTAGGTACTTGAAACAAGCATTTTGTTGAATTAATTACACTTAATTACTTACACTACCTATCTAAACTGAACTAATTACCATGTTTCGTTGGTTAACAAATGTGCTACACAAAACATCGAGTATAACAAAATTTAATGATTGGCAAAGCCATAGGTGGGTTAATTACTTTAGCCTAATCTAAATTAATTGCAAGTTCATAGTACTTTTAGCAAGTAATTACTTTAACTTAATTTTAACCAAACGAAGTAGATTTAGTTTTTAATTATTAACAACAGCCGTCGCGTCGGTTAGCCAGACGGAATTTAGGCCTAAAAGCTAGGCGTAATCAGCTTACAAAGGTTATCTTTGCCAGTATGAGTAATGCCTTGGAAATGTATTTATGGTTTCCTTTTAGTTTAGTATTATGAGGCAGAATAAGCCGGAGTTTGGTTGCCTTAGATCAAGGTCAGATTTACAAAGGTTGTCTTTATTTGCAGACGAAACGGAAAAATGTCGTGGATTTGAGGCGTTGACTTTTTAAAACTTTTGGTGGTTAGTGTTTGTGATTAGAAAAACTATGTTTGAGGTGAATATTCGGACTATGGATGCCTTAGCTGTGGTCGTGAGATGGTCCATTCTCATGCTGATCGGCGTGAGTTGGCACGTTAATTCTCAGACAGTGCAACAGACAACTGAAGTGGACAATTCTTATAATTTTTACTATGAGCAACCTTGCTGTTCTGGAACTGTTACGAAGAGCAAATATCATATGCGACACAGGCGAGGTAAGTGTTTTGATTTTGGACTAAGTTAGACATATAAGTGATTCTAAGAAGGAATAAAAAAAATACATTAAACAAAGTTTATATTTTCTTTAACCAAGAATTAAATAAATGCTTCTAAGTTTGTTCAAAATTATGCATACGAGAAAGAGACATCCACTTAGTATTTTTTGCTAAAATTCATATGAATTGAGTCATTAGTCAAACAATAATTCTTTTTTACCTGACATCATTAAAAAATGTAAAAGCAAAACCAAGATACATGAATCACAAAGATGACTCAAAATGCCCAAATCACACACACACACATACACAACGAACACACCCACAAACGTGTCACAAGTACTCCTATCACTAACACATTCAAAATTGAGACGCTTTCAAGGGTACATGATGTGAAGTGAGAGGGAAATATATGTAAATATAGGGGAGAGAAAGGGATGGAGTTCTCCTTTTGTTTCTTTGCGCTCCCCGTGACGTTAAGAGTGAAGATTTTAATACAGTTGTAGTTAATATTTCCCCTTTGACTTGTGAAATAATGATTTCTATATTGTGTATTACATAAAAGATTGATTGATTTGGCATTGATATAAATTAATGTACAATTTACAAAATGTTGTTCAATTAAATTAATACATTGAATTACAAGTAAATGTTTTCTTAGTTATGCATTACAGTGTATTTTGATACGTATTTAATATGTACTTGTTTATTAAAAAATCCTTTTGATGAAATTATGGGCAAAACATTGACACATCATTTTAAACTGGTAAATTCCATATTATATTCCTTATTTAAAAATGTCATAGTCTAAGTAAGTACTTTCTGTTTATACTTTAAAATATAATTACATTACAAAACCACATTCTAAACACCACCATCTGTCGCCAATTACTGGCACTTCTCAATAAATTAACGCTCCAATTACACAATTAACTTTACAGGTGACAATTCAAAATTATTGTTATTACTGTTGTGGCTTTACTAGGGTTAGAGTATTGGTCATCCTAAACCGCAATATTAATGTTAAATTTACCGCTACCACTAAACAATATGGGCTTAAACAGTTTGTAGGGGCTTAATGAATTCCAAACTTGTGTCATTAACCATAGCTGCACTTAATTAATAACTCTTTATGGAACCGCGGATTGGACATAGATTTTAATGTCGTTGATAACAAGGATAATGCCATTATGATGATATTGATACGCCTTGTTTGTAAAGCATGCTAAGCTCTATCGAACTCACGTTTAAAAATTGTTTTTGAAGCTGTTTGGTAATTGCAATAAATTTGATAATTCCTTCTTTTGAAAATCCAGTAAAACCACACTAGGAACTGGGCTGATGGTTTATTTTAGTAATAGTAAAATGTAAAATGGCAATAGGCTCACCCCCTATTACATGGAACTCATACCATAAATAATGAAAAGTGGGTGTCACTTCTGTGTGTACTACTAAACTGCCTATCTATTCGAGGATAAAAGGCGTGATGTTAAGTTATGTTATATATAATTATGTTGTAAATATATGTAAATTAATTTATGGTCAGCGATTAAAGTCTAAAAGCTATAATTTAGTTTTGAAGGATGGCAATATGGTGAACTGATTTTTACGTTCAATTTGCTTAAAATATCACATAGGTCTAATTTTATCATAGCTACTCCAACTCATAAAATTACACGTCTTACTAACAAAATAGACCGAAAGTGCCATTTACATAAAACCACAAAACGAACATGTCCACTCAAAAATATTAAACTCGACCGTTTAAAAAGTATTCAGTGGAACGTGACCCTTTTATGTGACATTATTTAACGTTGTCTATACATTATGTACGTTTGTACGTCCACACGCCTGGCCAACTTTCCTAAAACACTGGTTCTACTAATGACAGGCCGCTTGAATACTCCACCAAAGAATGATCACAAACTTATTCATCCCTTTATTCGCGTTGGGTATTCGAAGGTTTCAACCCTTGTAATTAGCAACACGCTACTAATTTCGGCTGTTTTATTATTATTATTTGTAGTTTGTAGCCTCAATGGCGTGCGGTATCTGAATAATCCTATCCGGAAAGGATGTATGTAGAATATGTACTTCTTATACATAATGGCTGCTATTTAAAATGTCGTATTGGGGTTTAATTTACTTATTATTTGATACAATCAAAATATTCTAATTGCATTTTCACGTTCAAACATTCTCATAATGCTTTGTGCAATTTTTTAAATAAGTTCTGAAGTTTAGGATTTAAAATTGCATTCTTCAATTTTTGCACCGCCACGCGCCGCGGCGTAATAACATTTGATGAATGTGAAATAATGTAACCCAAAATAAAGTAGCAGATATTGAAAGGTACAGGTAATAAATGAAGAGAAATTGTATAAATATCAATATTTGTAAAAAAATATTGACTGTTTTAATTGCAATAGTAATATGATATTTTAAATATTCACAATGTACGGCATATACGTAAATATAAACTACACATAAATCAGATGCAAATATGCTGTATATAATTGCACAATGGAATTGTAAAGCAGCGCCTACTAATGTTATTACAACGATCGTGTTTCCCTAAAGGGAGATGGGATGTAAAATTTAATAAGAATTTGAACAAAAAATATGAATGTAGACATGCATGCGACGTATGCAGCTGACGCCAAAATATGGGCATATTATGATGTCCCTAATCTGGTTCACGGTCTGTTGATCGGGACGGCTCTCTCGATAACAATAACCGACTTAATACGCCCGATAATCGGTTTTCGCTATTCGAAAACATCCGTGATTGACACTTTTGATGACGTTTGAGCCGTAGCAAACGCCCCCGAGTTCACCAATCGTTTTCCATTACGCCGAGGGGAGTTTACATTTGCAAATAAAATATAGAGCCGAATGATTTGTGCAAGTGGTATTGGCAAATAGCAAAATTGTGTTTGATTAATCGTAGTAGTTATGCGTGGTAAATGTTTTGATTTTATTGTGATTATGATTTATTACAACAGAAAGCTCCGTTTTAAAGGAATGAAACTTCTACTGGATTCAAATAAATGTAATATTATAAACAGGGAACTGCTTTTATTATTCTAAGGCTATAATTTTAACAGTCTCTAGAATCTTAACTGGCTACTTATACAATTGTACTAATAAAGTATTCTAGACAGAGATAACAATTCTTCAATGATAATACAGAGCACTAAAGCCAGCCCCTTAATGCTTTAGAATTCTAAAGTTAAAACGATCCTAAATTAAACTGTAGTCCACCAAGCCAAACAAAAGTCGTTACAACCTAAGAAACGACTACAAACACAAAAGAACATAATATTTAACTAAAGTAGGGAGCTCGCTATTTCAAACTTAAGTGACCATGAACTGAAACACTCAAAACGATCCGAGAGTGAGTTGGATGAGTCTGAGAGGCAAATGTCCATGCTAGTGGCGAGCAAACAAAAAATACGCACAGGCCGAGTTGAAAGAAAGAGTGCACTTAACCAAGCAAAGGCAAAAAAGGTAAAAAGAATCACACAATAAGCGAAGGAGGCAGACGGTGCCACGTCCGGACTAGACGAAACTTGGGCGAACAACCTGACCGCTTTGACTCACTGACCATGCGTTTGATGCCTTCTAACTTTAGCCTTGTTTTTTGTTTCTGTCGTTTAATTTGATCGCAAGTTCTATTGACAATACTACTGAACCGTGCCATTTTGGATTTTCCATGTCCAGCATTGTTCGTGTTCGTCAACAAAATTTAAATTGTAGTAGGTAGCTTTTATTCGTATAAAGTATTCTGACTTTTATTTTGGATTCGGTTTACTTATCTACGTTGTCTACAACTAGTATTATCTTCACATTTATTTTCTGAACAGCTCCGACAATTCCGAGCTATTTTCGCTACCCCCACACAATAGTATTTGACACACGACACCGAACAACACAAGATGACATTACCTATTTCGTATATGGGTTGGCCACAAAACATTTTGCTTAAAATTTAGTCACGTAGTCAGTGGAGGGTGTCCCATGTCGCGTCTTCAAACCATTGCGATGGTCCATTGTATTCTCAGGAGACAAAAGGGTTGAGCACCCTCCAAGGAGGCTTACCTTCGTCAAACCGCTTTTTGGAATCAAACGTTCAGGTATTTGGAATAGATTGGAACATTTTATCTCGTGTTGTTGGTTCTGGAAGAGGACGATTTCTTTATGTTCGTTGAATGTTTTGTTGCTAATATCGTATGCAAAATCTTTTGTACTATCTGTTTCGGGCTTGTGGGGCTATTGCGTATCTATACGTATATTTATGTCAGTGATGGTTATATTTTTCTATAATATTGATATGTATTATTCTTTTTGACTGCGAGTTTAGATCTGTGACTGGGTGTAGTTAGTTATACTAAAGTAAAGCGTTTTGGATTTCTGCACAGAACTTTTTGTGTGCTTATAAGTTTAAGAGTCTGGACATGTAAACGGTGTAAGGAAAAAATCGCTCGTGAAATCTTAAATTATGCTATGTATTAAATTACAGATACAAAACAAAGCATTCTTAAAACTAATTAGAAACGAATAGACGTATATAGTATTTAGTCTTAATGTAATGCTGTTCAAAATGTTTAATGAATGCTATTTGCATTGACCACATTGCAAATAAACATTGATTACTGTGAATGAGCCATTAATTTTAGATACACCTTCAATATTTTGGTTTCATTTGTAGATAAATTATATTAATTTAAATGTTAAACGTGTTGTAGTTATAATTTTAAATGTAATTTAAAAGTATACATGCATACTATTTAAAATTTATATTACAAATGTTCTTATAATTAGTTAATTTAGATCTAGTATCTATTATTAGTTTTTGGCAAAGAAATCTTTTCATTTGTATTAGATTCAGACATTTATACTTGCACTTACAGGTATACTTCGAATATCTCAAAACTCATAATGCTGTCGATTGATTACATTTTTTAACAAAAAATCGAGCCTTGTTATTTTCAATGGAC